ATACTGTGTCTGATTGGGGGTATTCATGTTAAACTGCGGCATGGTATCTCAGTGGGCTAGCACTATAAATCGGCATCATTCCGGACCAGTAGACCCGTGAAGATTCCGGGGTAGAATAGGTCTTCAGCAACCCATGCTTGCCGTAAAAGGCGACTATGCTTGTCGTAAAAGGCGACTAACGGGATCGGGTGGTCAGGCTCGCTGACTTTGTTGCTGCATGTCATCGTATTCCAATTGCGTGGATGGCAATCACTGGATTGTCTGCGATTATTTTTGCGACCGCCGTCATATAGCTGGAATATTGCTGAGTGCGGCGTTAAACAACAACAAACAAACAACTGAATTCTCAGCCAACGTTTTCATTGAAGCTGAAGTAAAATCTCGGAGGTGACGTTCAGCTTTGTGTATAGAAGCTGAAATATCAGTCATGTAAATGCCCGAGTATGGAATACTGTAAGGGACATTCTCGCGATCTCGACCTATGGAAACACGGTAAATATGCCCAAAACACGAGAATGCGAGATCGCTAGAATGTCCCTTACAGTATTCCGTACCCGAGTGAGTGTGATTTGAGGACGTTTTTAACAATATTCAGCAATATCAGTGAGTGAGAGTGAGTGAATATGGTTTTACGCCGATTTTAGCAATATTCCAGCAAAATCACGGCGGGAGACACCAGAAATGGGCTTCACACATTTTCAGCAATATCACAACACGGGACTCACGAAAGGAAATCACATGAATGCGGTAGTCGAACCAGGGACTTCGACGCGCCGCACAGTTACTTAAACCACTGAGCAAGAAAATGGTGAGGTAAAATGGGGTTTAACGTCGCGTCCAAGACTTATATAGCAACGCGCATGCATGTGTGTACGCGCGCGTGCGTGTGTGTCTGCTTGTACTAGTCCGAACTAATGCCCATTTCATAGTGTTAGCCCACTGAGATACCATGCCGCAGTAGCATAGATACCCCACTGAGACACAGTATACTGACTCCGAGCCGACCAGTCCTTGTTTCAGCCCCTTTATGTCGAGCGCCAGACAGAGTAACAACAAGTACCATCTTTTAACGTCTTTTGGTATGACGCGGCCGGGGATCGAACCCCGGACCTTCCGCTCTCCGGGCGGACGCCCTAGGCGGTCAACAAGAAAATAACGAGAGCTGCTTCTCAAACATAATTAAGATGTACTACTATACTATACTAAAGAAATGAACACCAGTACCGCAGCATGAAAGGAGAGGAAAGCAATAAGTGAAGCATGTTGTAGAAACTTAACATTGTTGTGAAACACAGGGGTCTGTGGTAGAAGGTTACATTGTTGTGAAACAGGGGTATGTGGTGGAAGGTTACATTGTTGTGAAACACTATGAGTATGTGGTGGAAGGTTACATTGTTGTGAAACACAGGGGTCTGTGGTAGAAGGTTACATTGTTGTGAAACACAGGGGTATGTGGTGGAAGGTTACATTGTTGTGAAACACTATGAGTATGTGGTGGAAGCTTACATTGTTGTGAAACACTATGAGTATGTGGTAGAAGCTTACATTGTTGTGAAACACTATGGGTATGTGGTAGAAGCTTTCATTGTTGTGAAACACTATGGGTATGTGGTAGAAGCTTACATTGTTGTGAAACACTATGGGTATGTGGTAGAAGCTAACATTGTTGTGAAACACTATGGGTATGTGGTAGAAGCTTACATTGTTGTGAAACACAGGGGTATGTGGTAGAAGCTTACATTGTTGTGAAACACAGGGGTATGTGGTAGAAGCTTACATTGTTGTGAAACACAGGGATATGTGGTAGAAGCTTACATTGTTGTGAAACACTATGGGTATGTGGTAGAAGCTTACATTGTTGTGAAACACTATGGGTATGTGGTAGAAGCTTACATTGTTGTGAAACACAGGGGTATGTGGTAGAAGCTTACATTGTTGTGAAACACTATGTGTATGTGGTAGAGCGAACGCTTTAACCACTAGGCTACCCGACCGCCCCCTTTTGGTATGACGTGGCCGGGGAACGAACCCCGGACCTTCTGCTTCTGCTCTCCGGGCGGATGCTCTGCCACTAGACCACGGAGGCGGTCATCTAGGTTAATGCCATGGTACATGTGCTCTGGAGTTCCCCAGAGTGCACTATATGTGGTGAAACCACTGATCAACACTGTATGTATGGTCAAACATCCCATTAGCAATGTATATGTGGTCAAAACAAGCAGTTACCCGTGAAGATTCCGGGGTAGAATAGGTCCTCAGCAACCCATTCTTGCCGTAAAAGGCGACTATGCTTGTCGTAAGAGGCGACTAACGGGATCGGGTGGTCAGGTTCGCTGACTTGGTTGACGTGTGTCATCGTATCCCAACTGCGTGGATGGATGCTCATGATGTCAATTACTGGATTGTCTGGTCCAGACTCGGTTGTTTACAGACCGCCTTCGTATTCTAGAAGATGGAATATTGCTGAGTGCGGCGTTAAACAACAAACAAACAAAAACAAACAAAACCATATGTTTCAATAATCAGGAAATCTATTCACCTGGACGAGTTCACTGGGAACGATATAACTGGCCGGACTAACGAGGTTTACTGATAATAAGTATGTCCTTGATATCTCTAAATGTAGTAAAGGTGTATAAATATGTATATATGAACCTCTTTAGACCCTCGGCCATGGCCTGGCTGTAATAACGTTCAGTTCACAGACCTGCGCCTTTTGAAGAAACGCAAGACACAGTTAATTGTCCCCACGTCAAATGCCGGACTATAGCAATGACAGCAGAATCGTTCAAATCCTATCCCCACAAAAAGCGGAGAGTTCAGTTGGGTTCAGCTTCATTCAGAGGCTTCTGATACCTCTCGATTGATATCACTTGCTATTCAAAACGGAACAAATATATTCATTTACGGGAAATGGAGCGTGATGTTTTCGTTTTGGTAAACAGGCGCAGGTCTTGGAGTGGAGGTAAATACTGACTATATGTCACCGGTCGAGTCTATAGACCTCTTACTGTCATATAGGAACCGCTTAAAATGTTTTGTTGTTTGTTGTTAATCGAGTAATCGAGTCTGGACCAGACAGTCCAGTGATTGACATCATGAGCATCGATCCACGCAATTTGGATACGATGACATTTATCAACCAAGTCAGCGAGCCTGACCACCCGATCCCGTTAATCGCCAGTTACGACACGCATAGCAACCTTTTACGGCAAGCATGGGTTGCTGAAGACCTATTCTACCCCGGATCTTCACGGGTCAGGAACCGCTTAAAGGGCAAGTTGAGTCAAAGCATTAAAGCTTAACTGGCTCTGTCACAAGCATTAAGGAAACTCAGGTTGATAGTTTCACTTCAGACTTGATTATCATTTTGTTTTTGTTTGTTGTTAAAAGCTGCACTCTACAATATTCCAAATGCATGACGGTGGTCTGTGAATAATCGAGTCTGGACAAGACAATCCAGTGATTGATATCATGAGCATCGATCCACACCATTGGTTTTGTTTGTTTGTTGTTAAACGCCGCACTCAGCAATAATTCAGCTGTATATGACGGTGGTCTGTAAATAATCTCGTCTGGACCAGACAGTCCAGTGATTGATATTATGAGCAACGATCCACACCTTTGGTTTGTTTTGTTTGTTTGTTTGTTTGTTGTTAAACGCCGCACTCAGCAACAATTCAGCTGTATATGACGGCGGTCTGTAAATAATCGAGTCTGGACCAGACAATCCAATGATTAATATTATGAGCAACGATCCACACCATTGGTTTGTTTTGTTTGTTTGTTTGTTGTTAAACGACGCACTCAGCAACAATTCAGCTGTATATGACGGTGGTCTGTAGATAATCTCGTCTGGACCAGGCAATCCAGTGATTGATATTATAAGCAACGATCCACGTCGTCAGGGTATGATGATACGTGACAACCAAGTCACCGGGCGTGACCCCCTGAGCCATTTAGTTGCCTCTCACTACCAGCATAGGGGCGGTCGGGTAGCCTAGTGGTTAAAGCGCACGCTCGTCACGCCGAAGACCCGGGTTCGATTCCCGACATGGGTACAATGTGTGAAGCCCATTTCTGGTATCCCCAGCCGTGATATTGCTGGAATATTGCTAAAAGCGGCGTAAAACCATACTCACTCACTCACTCACTACCAGCATAAGTTACAGGGAAACAATTCTGACCAGGTATCGACGCGAGAGGGCCATGTACAATATTCCTGCATAGCATAGCATGTCAGGGGACACTAGAAACGGGCTCCACACATTGTACCCGTGTGGGAATCGAACCGAGGACTTTGGCGAGTAAGTTACCACCGGGCTACCCCACTGCCCCTGATAGTCAGATGGCGAGATCAGGAGTACATCCGGGTGTGTTTAGAATCTAGTGCAGCGTCCCGACATACACACTAACGGATCGATTTAACACTGGCTGATGGTCAAACTGAAATTGCGGCGTTCGGGTCTAGTGGTTAAAGCGTTCGCTCGTCACGCCGAAGACCCGGGTTCGATTCCCGACATGGGTACAATGTGTGAAGCCCATTTCTGGTATCCCCCGCCGTGATATTGCTGGAATATTGCTAAAAGCGGCGTAAAACCATACTCACTCACTCACTCACTCATTTCGACGTTAAACAACAAACAAACAAACAAATCAAATATTTCTTATGCTCCAAACCCGACGCCATGTCGCTGGATCCGTTCAAAGATTATAAACGGTAGTTTAGCTGTAATATTGCTCATTTCGGCGTTAAAAACAAACAAACAAATAAAACAAATATTTCTCATGCTCCAAACCGACGTCATGCCCTTCGCTGGATCCGTTCAAAGGTTATAAACAGGTTGAACTGTCTATAGGAAACCACCGTGAGTCTTTGATTCGCAGAGCATTCAACTGATCTAGCCGTCACAAAGACTGCATGGAGAAGGGTGTCCTTAAGACACAATCCGCCCTGCATACCACAGTGACAGCTGGGTGAAATATAGCCCCGACACTGACATGGAGGGGGAGAGACGCGTTAGTTTCATCGACAATATGGCTGAGGTGGGACTGAGTAGTCTCTCTATCGCTGCCAAGAGGTTCAGGAAGAAAGGGGGGAAAGATGACGAAGGGGGTTATCGACAGGTGGCGCTATTGGGGTAGGTGTTAAATCGAATTATATTTATCAGTCCAAATTCAAATATCATGGTAGAGAGTGCGTGTATTCTAGGAATAAGGGACTTAAAAATATTTATATTAATATTTTTATTTTTTATACTTCAACGTCGGAATTAAATAAGAAATGTTAAAAAATGAAGGCAGGTTGGAATTGATTTGTGGATTTCATGTCATTTTTATTCTTTAACGCAATCTTGATCTTTTCTTTATCTGGCTAGATATCGATGTCACATTGGAGAGTTAAATATGTTGATATCCATGACTAGTCAATCCTAAGAAGGCCCGTATTACAGCTTCTAAATACCATTTGAAGATATCATAATGCGAATATAATTTTAACAGGTGTCCGTGTGGTTAGTTGGAAATATCTACTCCAAAAGTTCGCATTTCAACGAATACAGAATAGACTGTAGACACGTGAAACACATACACGGTTACCTTTCACTCGACAGAGTAATTTTATTAGTTTAAAGTAAGATAAAAAATGTAAGTATTTGTAGTGTTGAACTGTGTATTTGTTTGTCGAACTATGTATTTGTAGTGTCGAACTGTGTATTTGTTTGTCGAACTATGTATTTGTAGTGTCGAACTATGTATTTGTAGTGTCGAACTGTGTATTTGTAGTGTGGAACTATGTATTTGTAGTGTCGAACTGTGGGTATATTTGTTAATTAGGCGATGAAGTTGATATGCGTTCGGTGCAAATGTGAACGCTTGCTCATCATATTCTGTCTGATGGAAGCAAATTGGAATGAAACAAACTGGTTACATCGTGAAACATAATTACCATAAGCGCTTAATAGTTTGTTTTAGTGAAATATGCGTCATAAACTTTAGGCACCACAGTATACGTATATATATATATATATATATATATATATATATATATATATATATATATATAATTAAAGTACTCACGGAAATGAAAAAAACCTGTTTTTTCGATCTCAGATTTTAAATAAATGCAGTTAATATACAAAATATATAAATATTCAAACAACTCAATTAGTACTAATTGGGCATTGGCACAAATACAGCGTATCAAAGGTTTTTATGTCTTTTTACACGTAAAAGTGTGTAAAAATATGAACGAAACAGACTATTGTGAAACTGAGCATAACCAGGTGTTAGTAGATCAAGGTGAATGTCCATGACCTATGACACCTTGACGACAGGTGAAAACAGGTGCTTGAAACCCACGTGCATGTGATTTGTCAGTGGTTAGTGATTTGTCAGTGGCATTGTGAGATAGTGAATCATCGTCAAAATATCAGAACGTAAAAGAAACATATTCCCTTCTCAAACAACAACTTACATGCCATTATTCTTATGTACATAAACATAGCTGTTATTTTTATTGTTGTTTTGATAACTTTTTTCCAGGCTAATTTGTATAGTGCCTATAGCCTGTTTCTGCCATGTCAATTTGGACTTAGTTTTATTTTTGAATGTTGAAAGTGCCTACAAATTACCTCCTGTAAAGTACATTTTGTATTGAGCACTGAGATAAAACTAGCAAATCCAGACTAGTACTTTTCCAGTTGTTTTGTTATTTCGTATTTACATCTACGTAATGCTTTTTGTCGATTATTAAATCCAGCAAAACAGTTTTTTTTCATTTCCATGAGTACTTTAGTGGGTATGTGCTATGCTATTTATTTATTTATTTATCTAAATTAGTTAGTTAGTCAGTTAGTTAGTTTACTTACTTATTCAGTCACTGATTCACTATGTGCCTCATGATTTTTGTAAGGTCAACAGGACTTGACATAATAGCCCAATGTTTTCAATGTGTGCAAAGGGAAACAACTCTTATTCAGTTGCTAGGCTCGCCTTTCACTTGGCGTAGTAATAGCATAATAATATACCCAGTACTCTATCTTTGACGGTGTGTCTCCATACAGTACATACTCATCTGTGTGTTCTTCGTGGTGATACAAACTTCTCTGATATGAGTCAAAAGTAGCACAATAAGCCTATATTAGATGAACTATTTCTACTCCGCTAACTTCCGGTACATGTAATTCGGTGGACGATTGTTTACAAATGGATGCAGATTGAAAGCGCTGTGTAGCAGTAAACGAAGTACTGTAACCTCATTTGTTTGTGTCATGTTTGTTTGTACGCATATGGTCTTTTCGATAGGTGACAATGTAGCATTCTCGTATATGTAAGGCCTGACAGTGTAGGCCATCGCTAGACAAATTGTAATTGATGACGTCCTCATCTTTCATCCTTATGAATATCATTTCATGAGATTTCATCTGTGGGCTGATTAAAGTCTGCAATTAACATAGAGGTATAAACAAAATGTGACCACCAGTTTTCAGAAACATGTTACAAATTACCAAAAGTTTAATAACACACCTTTTTTTTTCTAGTGTTTTGATCACGATTCCCTTCTGTGACCGTTTTCAAAATTTACCAACATATCATATGGCACCAGACAGGTAGCTTAGCCTAGATGATTGTGAATTAGTGACTGTGTAAAGTCATGCCTTATTTTGTACCAAACAGACGGGTGTACTGAGTTATTCCACTTTCATTATGATTTATTGTTCTTGTTTCAGCATCGCAGCAAGAATCAAAATGGGCCGCAAAGGTGAAAAGAGTTTGAGCAAAGACAAAAATCAGTCCTCAGCGAGCCAAGATGCCCAAGATGAGGATTCCAACAAGACCCCAGGTTTGTAATAATTCAGACTTATAGTTTGGCAAGATTGCAGTATACCAGATATATTCCGCCATTTGGTTATGGTTTGTGTGCAATCTCCTTCCTTAGTAACGGTTTCTAAGTTTTCCAACCACCATTTTTAGCCATCTTGTAGACTAACATCTAGTCTCTGAAATGAACATATCGTACAGAAAAAAAGTTGTTCAGTTATCTTAATAAAAATAGAATAAAAAGAGCCCAGTGACTCTCTTCATTTTCAGATACTGCAGTGATCTAGACTTGCCAAACATTATAGACTTGCATGGGCTGTATTTGATATACATTTGTATCAGGGTCTGTAAGACAGACTAGCCATCTTGCTAAATTAACAGGGGGTTTAGGGGGCTTTCCCCTCGCACAGGTCATTGTAATAAATGCTTTTTTAATTCAAAGCCATTTTCAGTCACCAAAGTTGATGAAAAAAGCTACATGTTTGATGAAATGTGAACTGATGAGGTTGCCACTTGCCATTAATAATGATTACGTGAAAAGTAGAAGTTCTATAATGATTATAGAACTTCTACTTTTCACGTAATGTTTAGTTGTTGATGGCTGATTTTCGATGTTTATCATTTGCTTTGATACTCAATTTCATGGTTTAATCATTTTAAACCCTACAACTGCATGCGAGATATTTCTTTCTGATTAGTTTGAGCTTTAAATCCCCTATTTTTTTAAGTAGTCTCATGCCCCTGTATAACATACATCAAACAAATATGTCCGACAGGTATCTGGTATAATGCAAGTGTACCCAGTCTGTGTCACTGTAGTTAAGATTTAGAAGTAGTGACAGAAAGTGTGGCAGATTTTCGATGTTTATCAATTGCTTTGATACTCAAATTCGTTGTTTAATCATTTTAAACCCTACAATTGCATGTGAGATTTTTTTTTCTGATTAGTTTGGGTTTAAATCCCCTATTTTTTTAAATAGTCTCATGCCCCTGTATAACATACATCAAACAGATATGTCCGACAGGTATCTGGTATAATGCAAGTGTACCCAGTCTGTGTCACTGTAGTTAAGATTTAGAAGTAGTGATAGGAAGTGTGTAGACTTTCAGATCTGACAGGCTAATGTTACGGTCAGCCAAATTCTAAGCCACACAGGCCGACAGCTTTATTTTTTCAGTATTGGGTTCAGCCACTATTGCCACACTAGTCTAATATAAAAAGGACACCAAGTGGTCAATGGTCACCCCTGCCTTTGATTTCACAGAGTTAAGTATTGATTCTCAAACCCTGAAATGCCATAATTACCTTTGTCTGACATTGACACTCCTTGTTTCTTGAATTATGGTAAACTTGATATTAGCATGATTAGTTTCATTGTCTCCGTGACATCAAGTTAACAATGAAGTTTTTACAGAAAGAGAGTAGATACAGAATATCCTTAGATGGAGAAGGACCGCCTCCTTGGTCTAGTGGTAGAACATCCACCTGGAGAGCGGAAGGTCCGGGGTTTGATCCCTGGCCGGTTCATTCCAAAAGACGTTAAAGGATGGTACTTGTTGTTACCCTGTCTGGCGCTCAGCATTAAGGGTCTAAAACCAGGACCTGTCGGCTCGGAGACAGTATACTGTCCGTACTAGTACAAGGAGTCACATACACACACACGTGCATGCATGTCACTATGTAAGTCTAATAATCGGGGACGTTAAACCCCATTTCACCCCACCTTAGACAGAGAAGAGGCTCAGACAAATTAGCACCTCATTGGATGTCTGTAAACTCAAATTTACTGATGTAAATTTACTGGTGATAATGACCTTAATTAGACAGAGACAATGTCTCAGTTTAAAACTAGTCTCTTTAATAACGTCTCGACCAAGACTGGGTCATGAAGAATCATCTCCTTCAAAGCATCTTTGAGACAGGGAGCATAAGACTGTTTGCCCCTTCTTAACAGGAGCAAAATCATTTTGTTAGTGGCTGAGATTCTAAGAGGTTACCTCTGTCTATTGCTACTGATGTATCATGTCTGGCTGGTGGTAGGGTAACCTAGTGGTTAAGGTGTCTGCTGTTCACTACCGAGTCCGGGTTCAATTCTCATGGATACAATGTGTGAAGCCCACTTCCCTTGACGTAATACTCCTGGAATATTGCTAAAAGTGATGAAAAACTTACTCTTTCCTACGATTTCCAGCATTCATCTCTATGGAAGGAAGAAAACTTCAAATCAAGGCTAAAAAATATAATAGTCTTGGTTCTCAGGCACCACGCGCATCGTCATAAAGCCTGTGCACGTTTCGTTTTTATTTTATATTTTCCCCAAAAATTAAAAATCCTAAAACTTAAAAAACAAAGTGATCCAATATAGCACACAGTTACTTCCCTTTACATGCGCACTGCTTTACTGCACATCTCATGTTATGGTCATGGTGGCAATAGGAGTTTGTATGCTTGTTTATGTAGAGAGGCCTTTCCCAAGTTGATGGTACACAACTGTTAATTTGGTTACATACTAGTTTGAACAAGCCAAAAAACAACAACAACTGCCCACCCGCACTATATTTTCAAAAGTCATTGCCTGAGTACGGCTGATTTCGTAAAAATAATCGTCTATCTCTCGCTTCCATTGGATAAACTTTTGAACGGAGGAGGCGTTGCACAGTATGTGGGAAGCACTGCCATACAATGTCAACCATATATTAGACATTCCGGAAAGTTTGTTTGTTCAGTTTTAAAAATTTTAATCGAGAACCATATTTTTTAAGCAGAGTCTGAAATGCAAGTCGCCAGGTTGAAACGAGTGCGGTAAAGCACGAGAAAGCTGCTTTATATCTGGCTGATGTTGACTTTTTGTCAGTCATTTCAGTGGTCGGTCAAAGTTCGCAAAAGGTCGTTCTGAAGTGACCCGTAATGGGATGTGTCCTCAGATCTTTGTTTATCGAGAACTCATATCTTATTTTAATGAGATTGATTCTAACCTGGAATCTCCTTGGAGTAATTGGTTGAGGGATGAGTTCTGTGCTCACATTGATTTTCTGTGCATTTGTTCCAACGGGCTGATAAATGAAGTATTATGATGATGATGATGTTCGTTTCAGAGCCGTACAACTGCTCCGGCTTTTTCCAGCCCGACTTTACTGAGTTGTGCCACAGACAAGACATGACCTACATTCCACAGATCGTTCCCCGCCCGCGGCCACCGGCCCCGTCTCCCAGTCAGGCCGCGGAAGGTAAACCGGAGAAGGGTAAAGATAAAAACAAACAACTCAGTGCCCCGGAACCAGACCCGGAACCTTTGTTAGACGAGGATGGTGGTAAACATTTTGTTTATTTCTTTTCACTTCATTTCTTTTCATTTTTTCTTATTTCTATTATCGCAAAAAACATTCTATTACTTTCTTTATCCTATTCTTTGGGAGGCCAGAAGGGTTGCAGATTGACACTAGCCAACCATCTTCCCACGGCAAGAGCGTCCACACGTCTTGTTTCCACCCTTGCCACATCAAGCCCACTTTTCTGTGCTAAATATGGCTGGACTATCACACATGTTGATAGTCCAATCAGAGAACGTTTCACAAAATCAACATCCACGACTGGTACACCTTCGTATGAAAGTGATTTACCGCTGCCTGTCTTTGTTAACACGTCTTTTTTGTCTTTTACATCCCCCAATGATTGCCTATGTTTTTGTGTCAGGGATGAAATGGCGAATGTTTTTGTTATCTGATCGACTAGGTCTATGGCCCAACAAGTCGCCATCTTTGTGAAGCTATACGAGATAAGAACAGCGATCTGATTGGATATTGCGTTTTCATAACAAGGGGCACAACTTGTGTTCTACGAGAGGTGGCACCAAGAAAAGTGGCCTTGATGTGGCTAAGGGTAGAAACTAGGCTTTGATATAGGCTAGTGGACACGCTTGCCTCAGGAAGATGTAGAAACTAGGCTTTGATATAGGCTAGTGGACACGCTTGCCTCGGGAAGATGTAGAAACTAGGCTTTGATATAGGCTAGTGGATACGCTTGCCTCGGGAAGATATAGAAACTAGGCTTTGATATAGGTTAGTGGACACGCTTACCTCGGGAAGATATAGAAACTAGGCTTTGATATAGGTTAGTGGACACGCTTGCCTCGGGAAGATATAGAAACTAGGCTTTGATATAGGTTATTGGACACGCTTGCCTCGGGAAGATGCTAGCCCACCAGCCCACGTTGTTTTGTCTGATCTTACAGTATGTCCTGAGGGCTAGGAGGATTTCCTGGCTTATTATGTCACTGTGTGTCCTTGAATAATATTAAGGATGTCATCGTAAGTTGTGATCTTGATGTGTCAATAAACTTTGAATGTTGATACTGCAATGATACAAATTTATGAATATAGATAATAAATTAATAATTCACTCTATAGAAGTGTTTACATTTGTTAAGATTACCATGGTTAACTTCTTTGAGTGGCATTTAGAAGTTGGAATTGTAACTAAGACAAAATTGTTATGGATCATTTGCTTGATAACAGTGTTAGAATCTACACCCAATTGTAATAAAGAAGTTGCTTATCTATAACAATTTTGTCTTAGTTACCATGGTTAAGATGGACATTTAGAAGGCAGAAAATTCACTTAAAAACAGTTGATCAGCATGATGCATGTTTAGTATTAAGTTGATTATTTGCAGGCATACATTGGTAATTTGTGGCAATTAACATAGACAAACTTTTCAATTTATCCATACTAAACTTTCCAATCAGTGACACCCCTAGATTATCTGGTTATCTACAGTCAAGTCCCGTTAATCCGACACGGTTGGTTGCATATGAATATGTCCGATTAACGAGTATGTCGTATAAACAGGATTAAGAAGTATCAATGTTAGTGATCGAAAATCGGACAACTACATGATAGATAATGATACGAACACATAATAAAAAAATGAAAAATGAAATATTCATATTGTTATGTTGCATTGTTAGTGGAATATGTTTTCTAATCATGCAACCTCTAAAGCTAAATTTAAACATTAATTGTTTATTGTAAAGCAAGTTTATCACTGCAGCCGTTATCATATGCAGCTACCAGTCTCGCATCAAGTGACGGGGCTGTGTACTCGCGGGCAGATGACCACTGAGTACGCTTGTCACTGTGTTGGATTAACGAGACTGATTAATGAGTGATTTCGGTAATTGGTTGCAAATTATGTGTGTCGGATTCGGAGTGCGAGACCATCGATTAATGGGTCTAAATGGCACTGATTTAATCGGTTCCCATCATCAGTGTTGGATAAAGCCGATTGTCGGATTAACGAGTGTTGGAGTAACGAGACTTGACTGTATATATGATGGCTAGTACCGGTATATGTTTTAGGTTAATTTGCATAGCTGGTCCAAGTTTTTCAATACATCAAATCTATAATTTCCAATTAAAGACTCCCCTGGGTTTCCTTGTTATATATCTATATATGATGGCTAGTACCGGTATATGTTTTAGGTTAATTTGCATAGCTGGTTGAAAGGGCTATTTTTAATTACGATATTTTAATTTTCTTTTATTGTGGTTTTGAATTATGTCTGATTTTTCATTCTTATATTTTAACATCAAGAATTCTTTTGCCTTATTTTACATAAGTATGTTCATCTTGTGTTTTGATGTTTCTATTTTGTATTGTTAGACTACCTCCTCAATAAATTAAGGGTTGAAAATGATAGTTTGTAAACACAATGTTCGAAATGAAGGGGGGTCCTTGCGGCCTCCTTCTATGGTATTAAAGGGGCGGTTGGGTAGCCTAGTGGTTAAAGCGTTCGCAAAAGATCCGGGTTCGATTCCTGACATGGGTACAATGTGTGAAGCCCATTTCTGGTGTCCCCCATCATGATATTGCTGAAATATTGCTAAAAGCAACGTAAAACTTCACTCACTCACTCACTCATTCTGGGTAAGAATATTGGTCCCCAGAAACCCATGCTTGTTGTAAGGCAACTAAATGGATAAGGTGGTTGGAATCGGTGCAAGTCATCATATTCAAATTGCTCGGATTGTGGCTCATGATTTCAATCACTGGATCGTCTGGTCCGGTGTCAAGTATTTACAGACAGCTGTAATATAGCTGGAATATTGCTAACTGCAGCATTAAACAAAAAGCAAAAATAAATTGATAATAAATTCTGTAACTATCATCATGAGTTTCCTGATTGCCTGCTACCAGAGCCAGTCGAGCCTCCTCCCAAGACATACACCATGAAGGACAAGTTTGAGTACTTCAAGCCATCCATACAGGTGGAGATGGACAACCCTGACAAGTTGGACACTGTCACCGAAGTGTACATCCGTGGTGGGTATAGCTAGACACTGTCACCGAAGTGTACATCCATGGTGGGTATAGCTAGACACTGTTAGAGAAGTATACATCCGTGGTGGGTATAGCTAGACACTGTTAGAGAAGAATACATCCGTGGTGGGTATAGCTAGACACTGTTAGAGAAGTATACATCTGTGGTGGGTATAGCTAGACACTGTTAGAGAAGTATACATCCGTGGTGGGTAAAGTTAGACACTGTTAGAGAAGTATACATCTGTGGTGGGTATAGCTAGACACTGTCAGGGAAGTATACATCCGTGGTGGGTATAGGTAGACACTGTTAGAGAAGTGTACATCCGTGGTGGGTATAGCTAGACACTGTCAGGGAAATATACATCCGTGGTGGGTAAAGTTAGACACTGTTAGAGAAGTATACATCCGTGGTGGGTAAAGTTAGACACTGTTAGAGAAGTATACATCTGTGGTGGGTATAGCTAGACACTGTCAGGGAAGTATACATCTGTGGTGGGTATAGCTAGACACTGTCAGGGAAGTATACATCCATGGTGGGTATAGGTAGACACTGTTAGAGAAGTATACATCTATGGTGGGTATAGCTAGACACTGTCAGGGAAATATACATCCGTGGTGGGAATAGCTAGACACTGTTAGAGAAGTGTACATCCGTGGTGGGTATAGCTAGACACTGTTAGAGAAGTATACATCCGTGGTGGGTATAGCTAGACACTGTCAGAGAAGTATACATCCGTGGTGGGTATAGCTAGACACTGTCAGGGAAGTGTACATCCGTGGTGGGTATAGCTAGACACTGTTAGAGAAGTATACATCCGTGGTGGGTATAGCTAGACACTGTTAGAGAAGTATACATCCGTGGTGGGTATAGCTAGACACTGTTAGAGAAGTGTACATCCGTGGTGGGTATAGCTAGACACTGTTACCAAAGTGTACATCCGTGGTGGGTATAGCTAGACACTGTTAGAGAAGTGTACATCCATGGTGGGTATAGCTAGACACTGTCAGGGAAGTATACATCTGTGGTGGGAATAGCTAGACACTGTTAGAGAAGTATACATCCGTGGTGGATATAGCTAGACACTGTCAGGGAAGTGTACATCCGTGCTGGGTATAGCTAGACACTGTTACCGAAGTGTACATCCATGGTGGGTATAGCTAGACACTGTTACAGAAGTGTACATCCGTGGTGGGTATAGCTAGACACTGTTAGAGAAGTATACATCCGTGGTGGGTATAGCTAGACACTGTTAGAGAAGTGTACATCCATGGTGGGTATAGCTAGACACTGTCAGGGAAGTATACATCCGTGTTGGTATAGCTTGACACTGTCAGGGAAATAAACATCCATGGCTGGTATAGCTAGACACTGTCAGAAAAGTTTACATCCGTGGGGGGTATAGCTAGACACTGTTAGAGAAGTATACATCTGTGGTGGATATAGCTAGACACTGTCAGGGAAGTATACATCCGTGGTTGGTATAGCTAGACACTGTCAGAGATATAAACATCCATGGCGGGTATAGCTAGACACTGTCAGAGAAGTATAGCTGGACTCTGTTAGAGAAGTATACAACCATGGTGGGTATAGCTAGACACTGTCAGGGAAATATACATCAGTTGTGGATATAGCTAGACACTGTCAGGGAAATAAACATCCGTGGTGGGAATAGTTAGACACTATCAGGGAAATATACATCTGTGGTGGGTATAGCTAGACACTGTCAGGGAAATATACATCAGTTGTGGATATAGCTAGACACTGTCAGGGAAATAAACATCCGTGGTGGGAATAGCTAGACACTATCAGGGAAATATACATCTGTGGTGGGTATAGCTAGACACTCAGGGAAATATACATCCATGGTGGGTATAGCTAGACACTGTCAGGGAAATAAACATCCGTGGTGGGTATAGCTAGACACTGTCAGAGAAGTATACATTCATAGTGGGTATAGCTAGACACTGTCAGGGAAATAAACATCCGTGGTGGGAATAGCTAGACACTATCAGGGAAATATACATCTGTGGTGGGTATAGCTAGACACTCAGGGAAATATACATCCATGGTGGGTATAGCTAGACACTGTCAGGGAAATAAACATCCGTGGTGGGTATAGCTAGACACTGTCAGGGAAATAAACATCCGTGGTGGGTATAGCTAGACACTGTCAGGGAAATAAACATCCGTGGTGGGTATAGCTAGACACTGTCAGAGAAGTATACATTCATAGTGGGTATAGCTAGACACTGTCAGGGAAATATACATCTGTGGTGGATATATCTAGACTGTGTCACCTAACTATACATCAGGGTAGGGATATCTAGACACTGACAGGGTAATGCTGAGAGTGGCATGTCAGCTCTAATGCAGCTGGTGTGAAGAATGCTGTTTGGAACAAGGGAGGTAATCCATGATATCCGTTACAGGGTGGAAGGTGGATGACTGTATGATGGAGATATTCAAGCAGTGCTGGCCGGCCATGGAGAGGCTACATACAATCAAGTGAGTCAACTTATACTGAAATTAGAAAATGCTTTTTGAATAGGTGTTATGCTTTAGTCTCTGAAAAATATATCTTTTTGAAAGAAAGAAGCAACTACATTGAATTTGAAAAAAGCCCCAGTGAGATGGGAGATTCAGAACCTGTCAAAAATCTAGACTTGCTTCATTTAGGGCTATGTCATTATAGTCAGGGTTAGGTGGAAGGAAAAGTAGCATGGTTCATGGACTGCGTAAAAGGTGACTATGCTAGTTGTAATAGGCGACTATGCTTGTCGTAAAAGGCGACTGTGCTTGTTGTAAGAGGCGACTAATGGGATCGGGTGGTCAGACTCGCTGACTTGGTTGATGCATGTCATCGTATCCCCATTGCATGGATCGATGCTCATGATATCAATCACTGGATTGTCTTATAGCTGGAATATTACTGAGTGCGGCAATAACAAACCAGCAACCAACTTTGAAAAAGTAATGTAAAAAAATAATGGTGGGTTCCTTCAAACATACTCTGTTTATCTGTTTACTGTGTTTATCTGTGAACACCTCTGTGGTCTAGTGGTAGAGAGTCTGCCCAGAGAGCAGAAGGTCTGGGGTTTCGATACATGGGGTTTCGGGTTTCGGGTCATACCAAAAGTCGTTAAAAGATGGTACTTGTTACCTTGCCTGACGCTCAGTATTAAGGGGCTAATACCCCTTAATACTAAGGTCGGCTCGGAGTCAGGATACTGTGTCTGTTTGGGGTATTCATGTTAAACTGTGGCATGGTATTTCAGTAGGCTAGCACTATAAAATTGTCTTTAGTTCTGACTAGAGCAAGCAGCCACGCATACATGTGCATGCACGTCGCTATAAAAGTGCAATAATCTTGAATGTGACGTGAAACCCCATTTCACCTCACCTGTTAATCTGTTTATCTGTTTACCCTTTATCTGTTTATCTGTTTATCTGTTTACCTGTTTACTGTTTACTGTTTACTCTGTTTATCTGCGTGAAAGCGATGTGACATGATGAGTTCTTATTAGGAAGATATAATACATGGACCTGGCAAAGTTTTACATTTGTGGAATCCCACAGCCCCTGCAGAGTATATCAATATATAAAAGATAAAAACGTCAATTTTGGAGATTCAAACATTTGCTCGCAACTTGATGACATTGTAAATTGGACAATGTTATTTTTGAGAGGGCAGTGCCCAGTGAGTTGTTCCCCATAGATTTAGCTTGGCAATGTAGATAAACACAATGGCTGATCGGTCTCATCCAAAAGTAGGAGAGATATGACAAATATTACGAGAAAAGGTGCTGATAATCGACGTGAAATTTGTGAGAATACCAAACTTAACCCCTTGTACATAAAATGGACTTGTCCGACATTGCCGTTGTCGGATTGTATTTAGGGAGTCATCATTATCTAAATACGGGTAAATATTTTTAAAGCTTGTACAATTTATTGACATCCTTAAAAAGGCTGCACAAAGGATTTTTAATGCCTCAAACAATACTTAATATAAGAAATAAATAACTTGTGGTTGTTGTTTATTGTAAAATAGAACACTACAGGGAAAATAAACCACTCGGGGTTGAGACCCTCATGGTATATTCTCCCTGCAGTGTTGTACGATAAACAACTCCCACTCATCATTTATTTCTTAAATAAAGTATTGATTGAGGCATTAAAAATCCTTTTCCGGCTTGCATACAATGTCATTGTTTCTGTCATAGTATTTGAATGTAGGGACCTCTGTGAATCTTCTGTGTTTAATATCAGCATTATACAGTCAAGTCCCGTTAATCCGACATTGTTGGTTGCATATGATTATGTCGGATTAACGAGTATGTTGGATAAACGAAATTAGGTAGTATCAAAGTTCGTGATTGAAAATTGGACATCCTGTCAGTAATTTCATTGGTCGGTCAAAGTTCGCGAAAGTTTGTTCTGACGTGACCTGTAATGGGATGTCTTAAGCAGTAGCGAGAACTTGTATCAGATTATAATGTGATTGAGGTAATCTAGGCATGTGATTGATCCTGTTTTGTGTATGTAAAAAAATAATTGTTTATTGTTAAGCAAGTTTATCTCTGCAGCCGTTGAAATATGAAGCTACTCGCCGACTCGTCTTGCATCAAAACACAGGTCTGTGTACTCGCGGGCAGATGACCACGGAGTACGCTGATCACTGTGTCGGATTAACGAGACTGATTAATGAGTGATTTCAGCATTTCGTTGCAAATTAGGTCTGTCGGAGTCGGAGTGCGAGACTGTCGGATTAACGGGTCTAAATAGCACTGATTAAATCGGTTCCCATCATTTGTGTTGGATAAAGCCGATTGTCAGATTAACGAGACTTGATTGTACCTTAGTCCCCGTCTCTTCGAGGCTTAATTTTGAACACTGTTAAGCTTGTACTTTGCTTCAAAATATTCTTCTCGTATTAATTGATTAAATGAATTAAAGGAAGATTATTTGTTTGTGTATTCCTGTAATCGGTTTCTGTTCCCAGCTTGTGGCAGGTTGGACTGACGGGGGAGACAGTGGCCATCTTGGCATCCTTCATACCACTCTGTATGAATCTCAAGTAGGTTGTGTTGGACGGGTGTTACCTGTCAATTCCCAAATTGAAACAATATTTTAACCCAGGAATCTGTACATAAAAGAACTTGGTGTGAAACCAACAAACAACCAACATGTAGTATACAATCAACACATGTATTACAAATTCCACTAAGTTTACAAATCAATACAAATTACTGCACATTAATGTACAATGGCAGTACACAACAGAGCAGTAGTACAATATTCAATGACAGTATATAATATGATGGCAGCGGTCAAATACTAAAATACAGTGGTGATAGCAATGTCAGTGATATATATATTTTCACTCAGTGATGACAGTGGTCAAGCTTCCATGATTGGCTAGGCAGAGAATCAGGGATGATGAGCAATCCTCACATGAAAGCTGATTCTGATGTGATGAAATGCCTGATAGATATGTAAACATGCTCTTGTCTCGTCATATATTCTAACCAGCTACTGGAAAGCCTCATAGTGCCCTCACAACATAGAACATTCTCCATGTTTCTATTACATACTATCGCGGTTAAACAGTAAAATACACTGTCATGTAACAATAAGGATTGCAAGGAAGTACTGGACATGTTCTGCTAGTGGTGGACTATAGATGGGCTTGTCTGTTGCAGGAACCTGATCCTGGATGGCAATAGCATACAGGAGGGGGAGGAGAACTGGCATCTGTTGGTGGATGATGACAGCAGGTGAGGGTGTGTGTGTGTTGGGGTGGATTGGGATGGGGGGGGAGGAGAACAGATGACAGCAGATGAGGGTGTGTGTGTGTTGTTGCGGATTGGGGTGGGGTTAGGAGGAGAACTGGCATCTTTTGGTGGACGATGACAGCAGATGAGGGTGTGTGTGTGTTGTTGCGGATTGGGGTGGGGTTAGGAGGAGAACTGGCATCTGTTGGTGGACGATGACAGCAGATGAGGGTGTGTGTGTGTTGGGGTGGATTGGGATGGGGGGGGAGGAGAACTGGCATCTGTTGGTGGATGATGACAGCAGATGAGGGTGTGTGTGTGTTGGGGTGGATTGGGATGGGGGGGGGGGGGGGAGAACTGGCATCTGTTGGTGGATGATGACAGCAGATGAGGGTGTGTGTGTGTTGGGGTGGATTGGGATGGGGGGGGGGGGGGGAGAACTGGCATCTGTTGGTGGACGATGACAGCAGATGAGGGTGTGTGTGTGGTTGGGGTGGATTGGGATGGATGGGGGGGGAGGAGAACTGGCATCTGTTGGTGGACGATGACAGCAGATGAGGGTGTGTGTGTGTTGGGGTGGATTGGGATGGGGGGGGGGGGGGAGAACTGGCATCTGTTGGTGGATGATGACAGCAGATGAGGGTGTGTGTGTGTTGTTGGGATTGCAGTGGGGTTAGGAGGAGAACTGGCATCTGTTGGTGGACTATGACTGCAGGTGAGGGTGTGTGTGTTGTTGGGATTGGAGTGGGGTTAGGAGGAGAACTGGCATCTGTTGTTAGAAGATGACAGCAGGTAAGGGTGCGTGTGTTGTTGGGGTGGATTGGGGATGGATCAGGTGCGGTAGGAGAAATGGCACTGTAGATGACCCTTTCCTTGCATTTGGTTTGTGTTACAGGTGCAAAATAGATTGTCTCCCTTTGTCAGAGAGAAATGGTCTTGTAACGCTAATGACAAAATATTCTGTCTCCCAAAAAATTTCCAGGAGCACTTATTATTGTTATTATTGTATGGTCAGACCCTAATTATCATTTGTCACTCCACACCTTTTGGTTTGGTCGAAAATATGAGATTTTCCCACATCAATCTGACAAGGTGTGACATGACTGAATTCTGTTGATGCATCATTCATCCAAACGCACTCACTCCCTCATTCATTCAGTGTTCAGCTTCTCTCACTCCAACATTGCTCTGTCTCGGACGAGGCAGCGGTGGGGATCGGCAAGGCACTGGGGACAGCCAAACGGTTCAACACAAAGCTTATGTCTCTCAACCTGGCCGGCAACCGAATCACAGATGTTGGTGCGGAGCATCTCGCAGGGGTAATGTCTGGAGAAATCTCCCAACTAGCAGATAAAGGGTGGTGACTGACTGGGTGAATGATATTCTTAGTTTACAACCATGTTGGCATCAATGCATAGATGGCCCGCTCACAGCCGGATCCAGATTCTACGTTAGTCTGGATCCTGATAATACCCTTCTCCGGACAATTACTGTGTGGTAAAATCTCTATAGGACAACACTGCTATGATTCATATATTCAAAAGAATTTGCTCGGATTTGTGTGTGCGTGCATTGTGTGGTAGCATGCGTGGTTGCGAGGTTGCGTGCGTGCGTGCGTCTGTCTCTCTGTGTGTCTGTGTGTGTCTGTGTCTTGATTAAAGGGAGATAACTCTCATTGCTGGAAGTACATTTTCTGTGAAAAGGTACAAGTGCATCAGATCCATGTTGTCAGTTGTGAGAATGGTGTTGTGTTGTCACTGTGTGTTGTCATGGTAGCGGGTGTAACACGACTAATGTGTGTTAGCAGTTATATTAATGGATTCTTGATGATATACTTTTTCCAAAAAACTTTGTGTTTTAGTACTGAAGCACATTGTCAAGTGCTGATCCAGCTTTTTTAAAAGGGAGGGGTCCAAAATATCAAAATCCTCTCAGATAATTTTACTGCCTACAACAGACCACATTTGGTTTTCAAAAGGGGGGATCCAGGGCCCAGATTTTCGAAACGATCTTAGCCCTAGAATTATCGTAAAGTTATCGTAAGGAAATCGTAGGCTATCGTAGCCTATTTCCGAAACTATCGTAGCCCTGAGATATCTTAAGTTTGTCGTAAATCTAAGATAGCCCTATACCTGTCGTAAGTTTATTTTATCCTCATCCACGATGGCAGCATACTTTGCTCTGGACATTTTTCATGATGAAGATGACAATGATTTGATGACAAGACCGAGGATATTCCGAGACAGAACTCGTCGCCTCAATACGCTTGACGACTTCGGTCTATTCTCCCGCTACAGATAAGTGTCGTAGCTCTGAGCGATCTGCGACAGGTTTACGATTGTTTCAAAAATCTATCTTATCTAAGTCTTAATGTATCTTATCTTTGAACGTAAGTAGTTAAGATTTATCTTAGCTGAGATGGTTTCGAAAATCTAGGCCCAGTACCCCTGGAGCCACCTGTGGATCTGCCTATGATTGTGATGTATCTGGTATAATGATGTGATGTCACATGGTGTTATGTTGCAGGGGCTGAGGATGAACCGATCGCTGCTGTCTCTCTCCCTCGCCAACAATCACATCGGAGATAAGGGGGTGAAGAAAATAGCAGAGGTTAGTGTGCATTCCTCAACTACAATCACAAGACACTTAATTTTCAGACAGATTCTGCTGTTATGATTGCAGGTAGATTTGCAAAGTATACCCACAGTACTGTTCTATGTTGACTCTGAGCTTTTCATTGTTGACCTCCATGGTGTCAACTGCTGCTATTTGCTGGAGACTGGTGGTGTATTGGATGATACACCCACTGATCTTGCTGGAGACTGGTGGTGTATTGGATGATACTCTCACTGATCTTGCTGGAGACTGGTGGTGTATTGGATGATACACCCACTGATCTTGCTGGAGACTGGTGGTGTATTGGATGATACTCTCACTGATCTTGCTGGAGACTGGTGTGTATTGGATGATACTCTCACTGATTTTGCTTGACACTGGTGGTGTATTGGATGGTACACTCACTGATGTTGCTGGAGACTGGTGTGTATTGGATGATACACCCACTGATCTTGCTGGAGACTGGTGTGTATTGGATGATACACCCACTGATCTTGCTGGAGACTGGTGTGTATTGGATGATACACCCATTGATATCGCATGAGACTGGTGGTGTATTGGATGATACTCCCACTGATCTTGCTGGAGACTGGTGGTGTATTGGATGATACACCCACTGATCTTGCTGGAGACTGGTGTGTATTGGATGATACACCCACTGATCTTGCTGGAGACTGGTGTGTATTGGATGATACTCTCACTGATCTTGCTGGAGACTGGTGTGTATTGGATGATACACCCATTGATATCGTTGGAGACTGGTGGTGTATTGGATGATACACCCACTGATCTTGCTGGAGACTGGTGTGTATTGGATGATACACCCACTGATATCGCTGGAGACTGGTGTGTATTGGATGATACACCCACTGATCTTGCTGGAGACTGGTGGTGTATTGGATGATACACCCACTGATCTTGCTGGAGACTGGTGGTGTATTGGATGATACACCCACTGATGTTGCTGGAGACTGGTGTGTATTGGATGATACACCCACTGATCTTGCTGGAGACTGGTGTGTATTGGATGATACTCTCACTGATCTTGCTGGAGACTGGTGTGTTTTGGATGATACACCCATTGATATCGCTGGAGACTGGTGGTGTATTGGATGATACACCCACTGATATCGCTGGAGACAGGTGTGTATTGGATGATACACCCACTGATCTTGCTGGAGACTGGTGTGTATTGGATGATACACCCACTGATCTTGCTGGAGACTGGTGTGTATTGGATGATACACTCACTGATGTTGCTGGAGACTGGTGTGTATTGGATGATACACCCACTGATCTTGCTGGAGACTGGTGGTGTATTGGATGATACACTCACTGATCTTGCTGGAGACTGGTGGTGTATTGGATGATACACTCACTGATCTTTCTGGAGACTGGTGGTGTATTGGATGATACAGCCACTGATCTTGCTGGAGACTGGTAGGGTATTAGATGATACACTCACTGATCTTGCTGGAGACTGGTGGTGTATTGGATGGTACACTCACTGATGTTGCTGAAGACTGGAGGTGTATTGGATGATACACCCACTGATGTTGCTGAAGACTGGAGGTGTATTGGATGATACACCCACTGATGTTGCTGAAGACTGGTGGTGTATTGGATGATACACCCACTGATCTTGCTGGAGACTGGTGGTGTATTGGATGGTACACTCACTGATGTTGCTGAAGACTGGAGGTGTATTGGATGGTACACCCACTGATCTTGCTGGAGACTGGTGGTGTATTGGATGGTACACTCACTGATGTTGCTGAAGACTGGAGGTGTATTGGATGGTACACTCACTGATCTTGCTGGAGACTGGTGGTGTATTGGATGGTACACTCACTGATGTTGCTGAAGACTGGTGGTGTATTGGATGGTACACTCACTGATCTTGCTGGAGACTGGTGGTGTATTGGTTGATACACCCACTGATTTTGCTGGAGACTGGTGGTGTATTGGATGATACACCCACTGATATCGCTGGAGACAGGTGTGTATTGGATGATACACCCACTGATCTTGCTGGAGACTGGTGTGTATTGGATGATACACCCACTGATCTTGCTGGAGACTGGTGTGTATTGGATGATACACTCACTGATGTTGCTGGAGACTGGTGTGTATTGGATGATACACCCACTGATCTTGCTGGAGACTGGTGGTGTATTGGATGATACACTCACTGATCTTGCTGGAGACTGGTGGTGTATTGGATGATACACTCACTGATCTTTCTGGAGACTGGTGGTGTATTGGATGATACAGCCACTGATCTTGCTGGAGACTGGTAGGGTATTAGATGATACACTCACTGATCTTGCTTGAGACTGATGGTGTATTGGATGGTACACTCACTGATGTTGCTGAAGACTGGAGGTGTATTGGATGATACACCCACTGATGTTGCTGAAGACTGGAGGTGTATTGGATGATACACCCACTGATGTTGCTGAAGACTGGAGGTGTATTGGATGGTACACTCACTGATGTTGCTGAAGACTGGAGGTGTATTGGATGGTACACTCACTGATCTTGCTGGAGACTGGTGGTGTATTGGATGGTACACTCACTGATGTTGCTGAAGACTGGTGGTGTATTGGATGGTACACTCACTGATCTTGCTGGAGACTGGTGGTGTATTGGATGATACACTCACTGATCTTGCTGGAGACTGGTGGTGTATTAGATGATACACTCACTGATCTTGCTGGAGACCGGTGGTGTATTGGATGATACACCCACTGATCTTGCTGGAGACTGATGGTGTATTGGATGATACACTCACTGATCTTGCTGGAGACCGGTGGTGTATTGGATGATACACCCACTGATCTTGCTGAAGACTGGTGGTGTATTGGATGGTACACTCACTGATCTTGCTGGAGACTGGTGGTGTATTGGATGGTACACTCACTGATCTTGCTGGAGACCGGTGGTGTATTGGATGATACACCCACTGATCTTGCTGGAGACTGGTAGGGTATTAGATGATACACCCACTGATCTTGCTTGAGACTGATGGTGTATTGGTTGATACACCCACTTATTTTTCTGGAAACAAATAGCATTAGGATATTTCCATGATTTTATCAACTTTGGCTAGCACATTCCTCTATTTCATGACTACATTAGCAAAAAATTATTTGGACAATTATTGACACCTTCCTGATGTAAGAGTGCCCACTACACTGTATCAAAGTCTTTCATGACTACTTTTCTTGTCGTGGGTCGTCTAAAAATCTGCATCACAGCCACTGCATTAGTGTTGAGTTGTACGAGTTAAAATACAATGAAGTTTGTGCTCAGATATATAAAAGTGACCGGTTCAGGCTAGTAGAATCAAAATGTTTTGGCACACGCTACGATGAATCAATCAGAATCCTTGACATAGGAATAATATCCAGCTGTTTTTATGAATCCGTTTTTTATCAACATGGTGGATTTTTGGGTACAGTTATATATTTTGTCTGCAGGCTCTGTCTCGGTTTCCATTGACCCATGAAGAGGTAGTAGAACGTCGTCGACTCATCTCAGAGAAAGGTTCTCCAGAGAGAAATAAATCTGTAAGTAATAATAACAACAATGATTATAAAGGATACTTGTAATGCACCAAACCCACCCTCTGATGTATGCTCACAGCACCATGTTATCATGACACTGTATTTCATTCTCTGCCTCCTGGGGAGTATGCAAGTTACAACCCTAGCTTCCCCAGTCACACTGCATTCTCATACTGCAGGGTACCCATCCACTGCTTGTGAACAGAGGCATATTTCCAACAAAGTCACTCAGGAGACAATACATGTAACCTGTGTTTCAATTTGTGTCAGGATTGAAGCTTCGCAAACTTTCGAGAGTGGAGGTGGCCGTACACGGTTACCCATCCACCTACTCTCCGCAACATTGATTACCTTTTCCCAATTTGTGACCTGTGTACTGTGCACAGGACCATATGTTTCCACATTACAGGGCAATAATTACATGAAGGCACAGTGCACGCTCTGATCCACCTAAAACATTGTTGTTGGCACATGGCTACGTTCTACTTTTGTCAAATAGACCAGGGTATGGGGGTTTATCTAGAAATGCTCAGAGGCCAATATTCAGCCCCAGGTCTGCAGCAAGTGTCTGTAAATATTCCCAAATGTCTCCCTGAAGAGATCCCGGGTCAGAATAGGCCCCAATAAGCCACGCTTGTCTCAATGTAGAGATCCCGGGTCAGAATAGGCCCCTATACCCCACTCTTGTCTCCCTGAAGAGATTCCTGGTCAGAATAGGACCCAATACCCCACACTTGTCTCTTTGTAGAAATCCCGTGTCAGAATAGGCCCCTATACCCCACGCTTGTCTCCCTGTAGAGATCCCTGGTCAGAATAGGACCCAATGCCCCACACTTGTCTCTCTGTAGAGATCCCAGGTCAGAATAGGACCCAATACCCCACACTTGTCTCTCTGTAGAGATCCAAGGTCAGAATAGGCCCCAATACCCAACGCTTGTCTCCCTGTAGAGATCCCAGGTCAGAATAGGCCCCCATACCCCACGCTTGTCTCCCTGTAGAGATCCCAGGTCAGAATAGGACCCAATACTCCACACTTAAAAGCTTGTCTCTCTGTAGAGATCCCTGGTCAGAATAGGACACAATACCCACACATGTCTCCCTGTAGAGATTCCAGGTCAGAATAGGCCCATATAACCCACACATGTCTCCCTGTAGAGATCCTGGGTCAAAACAGGACCCAATACCCCACACTTGTCTCCCTGTAGAGATCCCGGGTCAGAATAGGCCCCAATACCCAACACTTGTCTCCCTGTAGAGATAGATACTCACAACATCCACTCACATCCTCGTATTAAACAGCAAAGAGGCCTGCACTGTCACTAATGTTTCAGAAGTTGTCTGAGAATGATCCGATGAATCTTTTTATCCTTTGTGATATCTGATGGTGCCAGCATGTTTGTGTTCACTGTTCACATGCACTGTTCACCCCTAGCCCCCACCGAGTCGCCGAGCTGAGTCCAAGGACCGTCCTGGCAGTGTTCGAAGCAGCTCCCACACAGACAAGGACAAGTCTAAGCGAGACAAACCATCGGCTAAAAAGAATAAGGTACACTACGGGGCTTTTGACATTTACCATGGATGAAAGCAGAACTATAATAAGGCGACATTTTTTTTATTTCTTGGTTAAGGATTTCAAGACTCATTTCAAAAGTGAGGTAGGCAAATTGAAAAAAAAAAAAAATCCCTCTAGGATTTTCTTTACTTGTCTTTTGTCCTATTTAAAAAAGTTAGGTAGGTATAAAAAAAATATTATTCTGGAGTACCAAAAGTAAAACAACTCAATTTTTCAAGAATATTTTATTATATCCCTGGAACTCAGCTTGTGCACAAATGGCAATAGAGCAATATTAATGTCACGATGAAATGCATGAAAGACGCCGCCATTTTGTCAGCATGGGTGACGATTAAACTGGTCGGCACTGTGCTTTGTGTTGACATTTTTGTTGTTAAACTTTTAATGCATTTTTTAAAGTAAAGATCGGTGGTAATAAGAAAAGGAGTAATTTGTATTTTAATTTTTTTTCAACATTTGAGCTTTGAATGAGTGGTGCATCCGTAAACCAAGAAATAAAAAAAATGTCGAATAAGCTTTTTGTTATTTGGGTATTTTACCCAGGGGTTTGATATTGATTGGGTATCCACGAGTTTTGGAGGAAATTTAATTTTAACTCACCTGTTTCTTCACATTTGGGTATTTTGACTTAAAACCTGTTTCATATCAATCCCTGTAAATCATTTAAAACTATGTCTAGGACGTCTAGACGATCTGCTCGATGATCAAGATCTATATTGTAATAAAACGGGTCTTACCCCCAGAAGTGCATCAAAACACGTGAGCAACTTGATTAAAAGCATGAAAGAATTTGCAAAATATCTGTCTAAGCCCAGGTGGCTGTACACATACTTTGCAATCCTGCAGTTGACCAAAATCTGCACGTTGAAATCCATGTTGTTTACGAACCGGATGTTTAGTTCGTTACGCAATTTTGATTGGTCTATGCATAGACTTGTTAGTCCAGCCAAAATGTAACGCTGGAATTGCAGCCCAGTTCAGGAAGGGTGGAAACTGGACTTTTATTGTCAGTTAATGCCCTTGCCTCAGGAAGATGCAATTATACTGCAGAGCTCCAGATAAGCTTTTGGTGTTGTGGGTATTTTACCGATGCATTTTAAAATCATTGGGTATCAGTAATTCTATCTGGGTATTCAAATTTCTGTTACCCACTAGTTTTTACACATGTGGGTATTTAAGTTAAATATTTAAAAACACTATTCATCTAGTCCCTGCAAACTGGTGTCGTCTGGGTTCGAGAGCTTTATAGGACTCAAGAATACCACGATACTTCCACAAGAAAGTGTGATGGCAAATGATCATGATGTATCTGTCATCATGGAGTTTGGCAAGGTTGACGGAATGCCTGTTTATAATTTCAAAATAAGTTGCTGATTTGCTAATCGAATACGCAGGGTTACTTCACAATATTTTAATGATACGCATAAGTTTTATTTTTGTAGCGTATCTGTAATGTTTGTTGCGTATTTGATACGCTTGGATTTTATTTTACTGCATATTTCTGCATTTCTGATGCGTATTTTATGCAAATACGCAGCTTATCTGGAGCTCTGATACTGACATGGATAAAAGTACCAGTGTAGTGGCTAGTTTGCCTAACTATGAGGATAGTATTGACATAAAAAAAGTTTTAGTATACCTGCTAGTTTAACCACTGCAATAGTATTGACATGGATAATAACACTGGCCATTTAATCCAGGATCCGAAGGCAAAAGAGGAAGACAAGAAGGGAGGGACGAGAAAAGAAAAAGACGACAAAGGCAGCTCCAAGAAGGGTAGGTTTCCTCCCAGATTGCAATTAATCAGCACAATTAGAGAAACACTAGCTCGTGTGATAGAAAATGTATACCGATCATGTCATATAAAGTTTGTTATTTGTAGACCATGTGGGATAGTTAATGACATGGTTAGTGTGTGATGCTTATTTTTATTTTTAATTGTTTTGGTGTGAAATATTTAGGTTTTGCTACTTGTGTGAACATATGAGTTTTATTTAAGATTAGATTTGTAATTTGTTCCTGATAACCAAGGCATTTTGTTGAACTGATTGCAACCGACTAATCACTTTGTTCCTAACTCTAGCGGACCCTGTACATGTTAACTTGATAACTGAAACAGTGAGTCATGTGACAAGTTAACTGTTAACTATATTCGTGAGAAATACTTTTATGATGTACTGATAACAGTAGCTTCAAGGTCACTTGAAGGATGGTGGGGTAGCCTTCTGGTTAAAGCGTTCGCTCATATCACTGAAAGACCTGGGTTTGATTTCCCACATGGGTACAATATGTGAAGCCCATTTCTGGTGTCCCCTGCCGTGATGTTGCTGGAATATTGCTAAAAGCGGCATAAAACCATACTCACTCACTCAAGGTCACTTGACCCAGAACCTATTGTGATGATGTAATGGTTTTGTTTAGGTTTTTTCAAATCGTTTATCGGACAGTTGATGTTTCAAAGTAAGTTGTGCATGAAACTTGCATGCCTCTGTCGACAGCGTAGATCTCAGAACTACTCACTCCAGCTCTCACCACAGCTGAGTCCCGAGACTCCAACTCCTGTCCTGTCCTGTTCCGCGCCATGCTGGGGCTAAATGCTAACATGTTAACTCACTCTGGGATTTATCTTGACCCATATACAGCCCTCAGTCTGCAACTAATGTCAGGACAAAATGGAATAACGAGCTTCCCAATTCCTGTAGTTCTAGTCATAACCAATCTGTGAAGATTCCGGAGTAGAATACGTCTTCAGCAACCCATGCTTGCCGTATTAGGTGACTATGCTTGTCGTAAAAGGCGACTAACGGGATCGGGTGGTCAGGCTCGCTGACTTGGTTGATGCATGTCATCGATCCCAATAGCGTGGATCGATGCTCATGATGTCAATCAATGGATTGTCTGGTCCAGACTCGATTATTTACAGACCGCCGTCATATAGCTGGAATATTGCTGAGTGCGGCGTTAAACAACAAACCAACCAACCAACTAACCAACCAATCTAGTCATAACCAATGTCATGGCTTTGTAGAAATGACTTGTATTTCACTGACGACAGGACCAGTGAAGAGGATTAAAAAGGCTTCAGTGGTTTGTTTTACACTATTGCCTACCTCCTAAATTGCAAAAATAAAATTTGCAAAAAATACCAATTTTGAAATAAAGGTTGAGATTTTCTGCCAAGGTCACTTAGTATGGAATCCAAGATAAATCCCGAATACTAATGATACGCGTCTTGGTGACGTTGTACAAAACACCCTTAGCGCTAAGACTGTCGTAAGTCTGTGTTAAGGTATGGGGGTTACGATCACCTTAGCGCTAAGATCGCTTTGTACAACGGCATTAGCATTCTTGCTTCTTTCTCAAAGTGAAGAAACAAATTCATCATCTCCAATGATCTTTGTTCTACGAACTGCATCACTGTGTAGCGCCAGGACCTATGCTGGTCCTAAGAGGCTGGTTAACTGATTTCGTTGATAAAGAGACATCGTACCCTCATGGCAGGGATCGTTGCTCATAATACTGATCACCGGATTGTCTGGCCCAGACACAATGCTTTGGAGGCTCCTGTCATATAGCTAGAATATTGCTGAGTACGGTGTTAAAAAAACATTACCACAGAATGATATGGATATAAACCATGTTACCGTGTAGAGGGAGATTGTATTGTCAGTAATAGTGGATTATTGACTAGATTTTGAAGACAGACAGAAAAACTTAGAGTGAGTACGAAATAGCCCATATGTACTGTCTGTGCAACCTATTCAACTTTTTTGAGCTGAGCTAAATAGACAGTAAAAATTTTTAGGCTCAGGCTGTAGACTAATGGATGATATCACAAGGGTAACAGACGGTAGGGCTGGGACGGATAACTCGGGTACTCGCTTGAGCGTGCCTAAGAAAGTCCCGGGTACCCACAGGACTAACCGGACCCGTGGTTAGTCACGTAATATATTGTTTAATGACAAAAATGATCTAAAACTCTATGGTTACACTACAAGTACAAATGTTCCCATTTCCTTATGACTACGCACCCTTCCTTCTGACTTTTATATATTTGAACTAAGATCAAACTTCATGCAGTTAACTTCAGTGGATGGATGACCAGATCAGTTTACACATGTATCTAAATACATTTCGCCAGGGCTATGGTCAAACTTTTCCAAATTGGACAGTTTGTACCTATCTCTATATATCTACAGCAGGTATCCGGGTAGGGTCGTGTCATAGGGTGATGGGTACCCGGGTAGTAAATTAGGACTCGTCCCAGCCCTAACAGCCAGACAGATGTTTTGAAGACTGTTACCATGACGTTTAGACCCAGGCTAGGACATCTATTTAACTCTTGGCTTCATTATGTTGATAAAACAATGGTGATATTTCAGCCCTGAAGGTGTTTTAGTGTAGGGAGCCTCCTTCCAGGTGAGCGACACAGACGAAACGTTTTATCAAAACTCCTTCCGTAGAACATATTTGCTTCAAACATAGGTGGACAAGCTTGTTTGAGGTAGAATTTGCAATAACTAATGCATGCTTAGAGTTAAAGTGGGTGAAAATTTCTTTGCTTTCTTGCATGTTGCGCCGTAGGTATTGAAGTAGCGTAGAGAAACCAACTAGCTGGTTTAAAGACACTAGCCGCCTGTGCAAACAACGCAAGACTCTGCTTGGCCAAGTTTGTGTTTCAGTATCAGTGTCTGTAGATATTTAGGGAATCTCACCCCAGCTAACCAGCTCCAGAGTCAAAGAATTGATGATGTCATATGATTGTGACGTCAAAGAATCCGATGATGTCAGTTGATTGTGACATCAAAGAATCCGATGATGTCATAATGGTCTGCAAAGCATTGTGATGCAATTTCATTGCTGCGATATATCTCCCCATTCCACAGAGTGATCTTAGCTCTACGATTGTCATAAGTCTGTTAAAGTTTTGGAGTTACGATTGTCTTTTCGCTAAGATCGATTTGTGGAATGGGGCCCACGGAGAGATCACTTGATCTGATCCTAGCAAAATCTCTGTGGAGGCCAGATTTGGATGGCGAGGATTGTTATCAGCTAAGCAGCGTAAAATACCACCCCCCAAATATTCAAAACTCAATTACTTTCAATTAACTTGCATACAGGAACGCATGCATTAAATGAAAAATAGAAATGTATAAAAACATCTCTCGTAAATACCCAATGAAGCTTTACCAGTATGCATTCAAAGGAGCTAATTTCTGAAATACAATTACAAACTAATTCACTTCCTGAGTCAAGCCTATATATTTAGAACAGTTGTATACATTTGAAACATTATTTCATATTTTTAAAATCTTAAAATGTTCACTAATTTGGGGAAATACCCAACAGAGTGATGAATAGATGAGTGAAAAAATATTGGTTACCCAATGAAAAATGTAATAACCCAATTAAAATAGAAACCCTACAGTAAAAACTCACTTGCTCAAAAAGTTATCTGGAGCTCTGTGTCTGAAACAAACTATATAAGACTCATGTTTCAGACTAGTGGTTCAAGTCACAGCCTGATTTAGGCTGGGCGCTGTTCAACAAAGGAGTCTTAGCTCTAAGGTGACTGTAACTTACACCGCTGAACACGGACTTAGGACAGTCGTAGCGCTCTGATTGCAGTGTGTGATACTACCGATGTAACGTTAAATTTGATTCACTCCTTCACAGATTGCAGTGGGGTACAGAACCCTGATCTTTTGACTTTTTGGAAAAGAACACCACATGGAACCCAGCTTCCTGTCAAATTGTAGGGATTGACTAAACATGCAGACTTACAAATCACTGCTCTGGACTAATGTTGACTTACATATACATACTGTAAATCTTGAAATTAACGCTAGGCTAACATCAACTATAGGCAGAGTTACCTCCCTTTTATTGATATCCTTATGATATAAACTATCTTGGATTTTTCTTATTAAATAGGAAATGTGTTAATTTATTTCAAGAATGGGATAAAATGTATTCAAAAGGTGAATTGGTGGATATTTTTTAAAAGCAATGTAGGACTGGTTGGTGATGAGGAACTCACAATTTACAGGCCGAATATAATACTGACAGGAGTACATCTTGATATGACCTGTGAAGATCCGAGTTAGAATTGGTGTTCAGCAACCCATGCTTGTCCGAAGAGGTGAATAATAGGCTCACTGACATAATTGATGCATGTCATCGTATCCCAATTGCGTAGATTGATACACATGATATCTATCAATTGATTGTCTGGTCCAGTAGATGTCAATGAGAAAATACTGATTACCTCATGTGATCAACTTTCTTATCTAGGACTTTGGACTTGTGCCTGAAGTGGTTGAGGGAGCATGGGTGGCCTAGTCGTCTAAGGTGCCGCGATTCGCTGTGTAGAGTTGCGTCCCTTGGGCACGCCAGAAACCTATGATTGTGGGTTCGAATCCCGGTTCGCCCCATTTACGTTTCAAGGTTTGTCAGCACCATACCCGTGCTCGTGGGTTTCACCGAAACGGTAAACGTCCCAGACCTGCATCACTTCGGGTTTTCGTCCCACATTAAGCTGACACGCCGTGATATTACTGGAATAATGTTAAAAGGGGTGTTAAACCCAACTCACTCACTCACTCCCTGAAGTGGTTGCATGTACATTTGTATCTCGATTGCTTCACCTGTGCCCACTTACCATGATTACAGATTGGTTCCAGTGTTTTATTTTTTATCTGCTATACTTATACAGTTGCTAGGTAAGTGGTGCATAAACAAATCCTTGCCAATTGTACGAATTTTGCTGAAATTTATTTTAGTCTAGTTTTTTTGTTTTGATTTACGTAAATCATTTACACTTGTTTTTCATTTGATAATCATTAGAACAAAAATCAAGAACCATTGATAGCAGTAAACTAGTTTATTTCATTAATTATCCTTGAAACATTTTGCTGTGCAAACACAGTGCTTTTACTTTATCATTGATGGATTTTTACATTTGAGTTGCTGACATTGGCGACTTTTTTACTTTTTGATGCATGTTTGGACACATGATATTTATAGGCTCCCTGACAATAATGATCAAATGCACCAAATAATGATGATAAAATCGACATCTGGTTCGTCGGTCAATTTCAGGATTTGTAAAGCATCAACTTGGTGTCAACAGATATTTTCCAAATCCTTTCACGTTGCTAATCAAGGTGCTCATGTGATTTCATGCACTTTGAGAAGTAAGACACGTTTATGCTTCATTATTGATCCGATCAGATCGTCTTGACTGGGCACCGCCATATTGTTTGAAGCAAATGCAAGTGATAAGAGAGAGGGAATCTGATTGGTCAATAGGAGGGACATAGAAGGGATATAACTTGTAATAACCACTGATGGTGCTACAATCGAGCCCAGAAATTACAGCTTTGTTTGCCAAGGGTGGAAACTGGACTTTTACATTCAGTTAACTCCCTTGACTCAGGAAGATGTCTCAGTGTGGGACA